CCTCCCCCTCCTTCTCCCTCCTCCTCCTCTAACAGGCTGGATCTGAATCCACAGGTTAAATCCCCCTGTGACTCATGCACTCTTCCATTCTCAACAGCTAATTCTACCCTACGCAAACCCAACCCAACCACAATGTGAGGTAAAAGTGTGCTTTGAAATTTCCTAGGAGCCAAACTGAAAAGGTGACAAGAAGGGAAATTAATTTGATCATAGATCTCATCTAGCTCAACCTTAGTATCGGAATTTCAACCTGTCTTCCAGGGAAATTGTCAATGAGCAATTTAGCATTCTGTGTATTTTTGTACTTATAGCGCCGGATTTCAGTTTGGGTGGTTTATGGGTTCAATGGCCACATGCAGGTAGAAGCTATCACATTGGGCAAAAATGTTCTGGGTCACAATTAGCTGCTGCTTCTTTTTTTTTTTTCCTTTTAATAGGTTTTATCACATTCTGAATTTTCTCTATATGCTTGCTGGTTTGCTTTGTTGAGGTCTGCCCGGTCCTTCTGCTAAAACAGAAGGTCCAAGAGAAGAGGAATTGAACCTGTTTAAGTCACCATCAACTTTAGTCTGTACCTAAAACCGTACGGGGTGCATGGTCAGTATTTATCAAAGAGGTATCAGACCAACCAGGCTTGCCTCTGTAGTCCTAGCTACATGGGTGGTAGAGAGCAAAACAATTGTGATTTGAGGCTAGCCTGAGCAATGGAGATCACAAGACCCATCTCAACCAATAGCTGTCCATGATATCACACACACCCATCATCCCAGCCATACAGGAAGTGTAAATAAGACTGAAGTCCAAAATATCCTGGGGAAAAAAACAAAAACCTTTGGAGAAAAAAAAAAAAAAAAGACTTGCAAAGGTCTGGAAATGTGGCTCAAGTAGTGGAGCTGCCTGACCAGCACTAGACTTTATAAACTCCCAGTAACAGTACCACAGAAGAAGAAGGAGAAGGAGGAGGAGGAGGAGGAGGAGGAGGAGGAGGAGGAGGAAGAGGGGGAGGAGGAGGAGGGGGAAGAAGAGGGGGAGGAGGAGGGGAAGGAGGAGGGGGGGAGGAGGGGGAGGAAGAGGGGGAGGAGGAGGGGGAGGAGGAGGGGGAGCAGCAGCAGCTGGGGAAAGCATATGGTCGTTTTGGTATTAATGGATGGCAATGAGGGGTGAAACACTTTGAAACTGGAAAGCTGCAGGTTCAAATCTCAGCTCAGACACTGGCTCACAGTGACCCAGAGCCTCCCAGAACAGAGCAGACGCTGCCTGCGGAATGACAACACTTGCTAATGCTGTTCATAGCATCCTCCAGACGCTCAAATGCCACAGCGCTCTACACAGCGGTCTGTAAATGCTGATCTTTCCATCCATCCTTCCTTGTCTCCAGGTACCATGAGAGACCACGGGACACTTTCCTCTCCTTCCTCCACAGAGCTGATACTCATCTCTCCAAACATCTTCCCGGGGTTTCTTTCCCATGGCCAACGAATCAAATCATGCCACATCAACTCTCATCACCCAGGAGCTGTGAGAAGACCACAGCAGCATCATGGTCCCTGTGTGGCAGGACACCACGTGAATCCGTGTCACTTTGATGAGTTCTGCATAGGCAGCCAGGGGCCTACCCAAGTCCCATCCTTCATAAGAGTACAAGGTCTCTGTCCAGACAGCTCATTCTGGAAGCTTCATTTGTCGAAGGGGGACAGCAAAGCAGTGCTGGATGGGCTGAATTCACCCCAACTCCTTAATCACTGACCTGTTTCAATTTGCTAAGCAGAGCTAGCTTCTCCAAAGACTTCATACACACACACACACACACACACACACACACACACTAATCCATTCATCAATGCTGCCCAGTGAGAGAATCTGTTGCTCAGAACTGTTCTCCAATGTGTTTATACAGCACATCAGATTAACGGCGTCAGGAGCAAAGCAAATGCCCGGATTTAGGGATCACTGAGTGTCACCCAAGAAAATGAACCTACTCGAGTTGATTAACTGGAACGAAGGAACCTGAACCAGCTGTGTTTGACAGCAAGCGGCCCCAGTTTCTTCTTGAGGACTCTCTCTTGGTGAAAACCCCAAATCCTGAGCCACGTCACGTACAGAATCAATAGGCTGCTGGAAACTATGTTTAAAAAAAATTAGTGTAAATAAATGATAGGGGAAACTTTACCATGTTATAATTAACTTGGGGATCTCGCATCAGGCAAATACACACTATAGCATTCCTGGGTACAAAAGGGAATGGTCGCAGGGAAGTAGAGATTCCTTATCTGAAAGGTTTACCGTTGGACCAAGGGTTCCAAAGCGATGGGTTTAAATCAAAGCTGTCGTTTCTCTTCTGCAATCGAGTATGACGCTGTGAGACAGAGGGGAGGTATGAAGAGATGACATAACTTATGAAAACCTCACACATGTGAGGGGTTATTTTGGTTTTTGTTTTGCCATGGTCTGCAAAATAAGAGGGCAGAGCCGCCCACAGGCAAGGCTGGCATTAGTGGGCTCTTCCGAAGCCCAGCAGCTTCCAAAGGGCACTTCCATTACAGCCAGGTTTCACATCACCACCGTTCTGTGTTCGACAGACACATCTTAGCAGAAAGCTCGTTCTCAAGAGGATTTTTGGCTTGTCCAGTCAACCCCACCCAGTATGGCAAAGATCAATCAGAGGCAAAGAGGTGGAAGCAAAGGAATGAAGAACCAGACCAGGAGAAGTTGCATGATCATCTTAAGTGAGAACCAAGCCTATCTCGTTCTACCCACACGGATGGATGGATGGATGGATGGATGGATGGATGGATGGATGGATGGCTATTAAATATTGACATGGATCCTCCCTCCACCCCTCCCCTGCCCTGCCCTGTACCCCCGGTGCTGGCTGGGAGCATCACCAGTATGTCTTCAGTCCTCACATTGTGACAGTGAGGGAATTTACGTACCTTCTCTTCCCAGCTTCAGTGTAAAAAGAACCTAAGAAAACCTGTCATATTCTTTCCTTCACCTCCAGAAAATCCCAGACCCTATGAGGACGCTTTCTTGCCTCAAGCACCCCTCAACTTTAAACTGCCTGAAGAATATACCCCTTTGAAATTCCCAGCAGCTGCAAAGAACCGCAAACACATGGTGGAAGGATTGGATTTCTTTCCTCCCTGGAAAGGGCTCCTGACTCAAGAGGTGCAGATAAAATTAGAAAAGGGGGTCCGTGGGGAGAAAAGGCTTCCAGGGACCCCACCAAAGAAACCCAAACCTTCCCATCACTAACAATTAAACAGCTAAACCCTTCCCAGACATCCTTCCCTGTCTCGATTTTGCTGTTTTTGCATTAATCATCCTAACACCTTTTTTAATTATAATCACAAACTGGAAGCCATGGCTTGTGATGTTATAAATACTGATTTTCCCCCCAGTTAAATTAGGCATTTGCTGTTTTATGTTTTGATAGGAAGGGACTGTCTGAAGCCTCCTAAAACATTGCAATTAGTTCTTGCTGTTGAAACAGACAAGACATTAACAGACACATTCGGGCTGTTGCCGTGGAATGTGCTGGAATGTTTATGCCTACATGTCCTTCTCTCAAGCTTTTAAAAGCATAAGGCAGATTTTTTTTTTAACTGAGAAAAAAAAAAGAAACCAATCCAGTCCCAATACCCACCATTCCCTGTTTATTTATATATTTCTGAAGTCATTTTTAAAACTTTTTTTCCCCCAGGTAGTGCTTTAAACCTAGAAAGCACAGCTCTGAGCAGGAAGGCAACACTGTCACCCCACAATTTTATCTAGTGGCTCCATTGAAATGGTAACATCTCTTTCAGCCAAGGGAAGTTGTGTTTCTGTTTGATGCCTACCATTATTTATTGAAATGCAATTCGAGATTGGAGGGGGGGGCGGGGACAGTCATCTAGCTCTAGTTTCCCAGAAAGATGGCAAACAGGAGGAAAGAAGGAAAGAAAACCAGAGAGGATTTTTTTTTTTTCATTTTTTTTTGCCTTTAGAACTTTCTACACGCTGGTTGTTATTTAAAGGTATGGCTGGGTGAGAAAGGTTAGATTCTCCCTTCATTTCACTTGCACTGAACTTTCTAGTCCTCTCCACCAGCCCCACCCCTTCCCCTCCACACCACCAGCTGAGGGGCTGGCTGCTGGTGGGAAGGTAAGCACGCGGTCACCTCACTAGACATGAAGTTGCCATCAGTCACCAAAGGAGGGGGAGATCAGAAAGAGCACCGGGCAGGGGAGCAATGCTCCAGAGCTTCAACGGTTCCTTCAAAGCACCAACTGTGACTCAGTCATCCAAGCCCTTGATGCAAAACTCAACCCGGAGCGCCGTTCAACCCAAGAGAGACAGAAAAGTTGTTATTCTGGGGGACACATCACCCCCTCCCACCCCATCTTTACTGGAAAGCCAAAGCACCAGGCTCCTCCGTCTTCCTTATAACGATCCCCTGGTTCCTTTTGCTTTGACCTTAAGATACTAAAGTTGGATTCCAGCCACCCCGAGGGAGATGGGGTGCTCTTTCGAGGGACTCTTGGGGATCCCCGAAGCCCTTTGTCAATTTAGCTCTGCCATCTGGTTCCTCCTCCGTGTCCCCCACACAGGATCCCAGAGTTCTAAGGTGTTGGGGGGTGGGTAATAGCCTGCTAACAGCCCCCCCACACCCCACCGGTATGAAGGCTTAAGCGGGTGGGAGGGGGGGATCCCCAAAGCTGGGAAGATTCCCACAGCAGGAGGCTGAGGGCCAGGACGGGACCCGAGCTCTGGCTGCCCTGAAATCAAGTGATGGGGGGGGTCGCTTTGCCAGCTGGAGTCCAACCTTCCAAGCTACACCCCTCCCCTCCCCTGAGTACCCTCAGCCAGGACTCTGGGGGGGGGACCCCCCGTGGAGACCCGGGCTCTCCGGATTGCGCCTAGGCATCTCGGGGAGGCAGGGGAGCCATGCTTCCCCCGGGAGCCCCCCCCACCCCCCGTTCCCCGCGCCGGTGCGCGTCCCGGCCTCGCTGGGGTCCTACCTGTACCACTCCAGCCCCTTCTCGTAGTTCCTGTCGAAGAAGTGCGGCTCCACGCCCACCGCCCGCACGTCCGGGTGCACTCGGATGGCCTCCAGCAGCGCGCGGGTCCCCCCTTTCTTGACCCCAATGATCAGCGCCTGGGGCAGCTTCTTCTCCCCGTAGTCCGGGGTGCTGGCGGCGGCGCCGCCCCTCTCGGCGCCGCTCTCGTTGGCCGCTCTCCGGCCTGCGAGCGGCTCGTCGGCGGCGGCGGTGCTGGACTCCGGCGCGTCCCGGTCCCCGGGCTGCGCGCCCGGCGCGGCCATCGCCTTGCCGGGAACCAGCGGGCTCCGGAGCCAGGGGTCCCGGGCGCCGCCGCCGCCGCTCGCCAGCCCCCAGCCGTCCGGGCCGGGCGCCGAGGGTCGCTCGGGGGGTGGCGGCGGGCGGCTCCCCGCGGCTCGCGTTGTCCGGCGGCGGCGGCGCGGGCGGCGGCGGCGAGGGGGCGCCGGGGCGCGCGGCGGGAGGCGGCAGCGAGGGCGGCGGCGGGCTCGGCGGGGGCTGCGCGGCGGTGCCCGGCGCTTCCTGCAGCGCCAAGGGGAACTGCAGAGAGCCCGAGCCGCCCAGGAGGCTGTAGCACAGGTAGGTGACGGACAGGGACAAGGTGCACATGAAGAGCAGCTTGCGCGCCGGCGGTCCCTTAGCCGAGGCGCCGGGCGGCGACGGCGGCGCGGCGAGAGGCGGAGGCGGCGGCGGAGGCGGCGGCGGTGCGGGCCACCGGGCCATCGCGGCTCCCCGATCGCGGCGGCGGCGGCGGCGGCGGCCCCCGGCGCGGCCCGGACATGGTTTCAGCCGCCGCCCCCGCCGCCACCACCACCGCCGCCGCCGCCGCCGCCGCCGCCGCCGCCGCCGCTGCCCAGCCGCCCCGGCTGCATGAAGCGGCGCCCCTGCGCCCCCGGCCCCGGCTGCTGTCCCGCGGCGCCCGGGGGGAGCCCGGCCGCATGGCCCCCTGCTCCCCCCCGCTCGGCCCGCAGAGTCCCGCGCCGCCCCCCCACCCCCCTCAGCCGCTGGCCAGGGGACCGAGGGGGGCGCACGGAGCCGCCGGCGGCACCCGCTCCGTCTGCGGCGTCACCCCCCCTCCCCACACCGCACCAGCTTCCCAACCCTCCGACCCCAATCTCTCCCCCCGCCGCGCCGCCCAGCCGGCTTCAGTCCCCGCCGCCGCCGCCGCGCGTGGTGGCAACCCCGAGTTCCTTCCCCGCTGCTAACTTTCTGCGGGGAGAGAGGAGAGGCGCGGAGGGGAGGGGCGGCGAGGGGAGGGCGGCGAGGGGCGGGGCGCGCGCCCGACGCCGCCGGGGAAGGGGAGTGCGCCTCTCCCGCGCGCGCCTGCGGACGGGAGGGAGGGGAGGTGGGAGAAGGGGAGGGGGGGGGAGATCCGGAGGGTTGCGCGGGATCCGGAGGCGTGCGCCCGGATCGGGGAACACCACCCGGGGAAGCCGGGCTCCGGCTCCCCAACCCTCTCCGGGGCGCACGCCAGCCACCCGCGCGCGCGCCGCGCGCTTTTTGGGGCGCTCCTCACCACGCGTGTCCCCCCGCCTCCCCGCTCGCCCCTCCGCGGGGAGCGACGGCGCCGCCCAGGTCCCCCAGGACTTTTCGGGGAAACCGAGCTCCCCCTCGCACACACACACACACACACACACACGTGTCCAGGGTCTCCGCTTGCCGCGCACGGCGAGGCTGGGAGAGGGGGCCCCGGGCTCAGTGGGGGTGGGGGGTACGGTGCCACTGAGTCACCAGCGTTGCTCCCCGCCTTCCCCTTCCTCCCCGCTCCCCCCCAACCCCACCCCGGGACTGCAAGCAAAACTCAGCCCATCCCCGAAGTCCTGTGGTCTTCTCACCCTGCCTCGGGGGTTCCTTCTCCATCCAGCACCCGCCGTGCCCAGCCCAACTCCCATCTTTGCAGCCTCCCCATCTTCCCGGGCGATGGGTGGAGCCCGGACCCCCAAACACACACACACACAAACACACACACACACACACACACACACACACACACACAGCAGCCGCCTCCAGCCCAGGACCTGGATGGAGACGGGTATACGCTCTGGCTCCCAGACATCATGCGTCTGGCCTCTGCCCTACACCGCCACACCACAGGTGCACACACCTGTGCCCGCGGAAGGCATCACCTGCCGGAATCAGAGCCGCCCCCCCCCCCCCGCTCCACACCCCCCCCCCAGCCAGACGGACAGACGGACGGCCGGACGCAGCCCCGGGACCAGCATCCTGCTGGTGTCTGCGTGTGGCGGCTTCACTGCATTTGGGGTTTGTTTGTTTAATTGTATTTTCTCTGCCGGGAAATTTGTCCCCTTTGGAGGCGGAGAAGGGAGAGGTGCACCCCAGTGCCTGGAACCGCAGGAGGAAGCCACGCAGCTCAGCCAGTCAGCCCCAGCCCGGGCACCCCGGCCTCTCTTCTGCTTCCTGGGAACCCGGGCTGCCCCTGCCTCCCTCCCCGGGGCTGGCTCCGCAGCTGGGGGGCCTGGCAGGTGCATTGCTCTCCAGCACCCCACGCTACCCCCTGCTGATGTGGCTGGCTTCACAAGGGAGGGGCGGTCTGTGTGGTCACCTAACTAGGAACCACCGTTGAACGAAAACATGCATAATAACTAAATATGAACGAGGAACCCAGGGCCAAAGAGGGGGAAATAATGTTAATCAAATCCGCGGGGGGACGTGGGACTTTTTTCCCTGAGAAGAAGGAAAGCTCACTGCTGCACTCAGCTGGACATGGGTTTTCTTCACCGCAGCTTTGGTTCAGATAAAGATGATTCCTTTATAATCTATTTTTTTTTTTATGGTACACAAGAGACCTGTGAAATGCGGAGCCCGGTGTCCTGTAAATCATTCTATGTAACTAGGGATGGGTTGGGGTGTGTGTGTCTGTGTGTGTGTGTGTGTTAACACCACACAACTGTGTTGCTGTAATGCTAACAGGAAAGGAGCAACAGGAGCTCCAGGGAACACAAGCTCCCCTCAACCCTCCTACTTTACCCAGAGCCCAGCTCCGAGGTGGTTGGCCAGAAGCCCGGATTCTAGCTAATATCACCTCTGCACAGACCCATCTCTCTTTCCAGGGTCAGCTACGAAGATGTCCACATAGGTAGTGCAAGCCCTTCCTGTAGCTCGGTACCTACCACTGAAACTTTCTACCCACGCTGCACTTTATGAAGTTGCTCTAAACATGTGTTTTCCAATTTGGGAAGGGTTCCATCCAGTGATGTTTTTTAAAAAATATATATTTTTAACCCTAGAAATGGCAAATGGAAAAAAGCAGAGCTGAAATGTGCCCAGTACCATGATGCAAAGAAATAGAAAGGAGCTGCAATCGTTTTAAATTGTAAAGCAAATAAAACAGATGTGGATATGATGTGTCTGTTGAAAAACGGGCAGATCCAGAATTCGCAGCCCCTTCAGGCAGAACTGAGACACAACACAAAGCCTGAGGGGCCCTGTTTCTCAGGGTATCCATCCACATTTGTCTCCCCTGTCTAGACATTGTTAATAGGAAATTTCTTAGTGCCCTATCTTCTAATCCCTCGCTGGGCCATGCTGGGCCTCAGTAGGGAGGAGCTGGGCTTGTTGTTTGTGAGTGGAGCTTTATGTTTCACACTTTCCTTTTATCTGGGTTCTAAAAGAAATTATTTATTGTTATTAGGAAGGTGATGTACAGAGGGGTTACAGTTACATGAGACAGGTAATGAAGACATTTCTTTTTGGACAGTGTCATCGCTCACTCTCTCCAAGTTTTTCCCTCCCATCCCTCACCCACAAGTTTTGTATGGTTCATTTTCAACATAGTGTCTGGTGAGTATCACTCCTGCATGCATTTCTTCCCCCTTTGTCCCTCCATTTCTGTGCACTCCCCTTATAGGGTTTGGGGGGTTTGTTTGGTTGTGATGGTACTGGTGCCTTGATCCAGGGTTCAAGCGGTCCCTTAGCTACGTTGCTCAAAGCAACCTTTGCTGGTACAGAGGTCAAAATGGCAAAGTGCCACTTACGCCATACCTCTGTTACCAGCTTTGTGCTAGTTAATTGGAGATAAGAGTCTCATGGGCGTTCCCGCACCAACTGGCTATGTATTTATCCTCAGATCTCAGCCTCCTGAGCAGCTAGGATTGCAGGCATGAGCCACCTGCACCCAGTCCTTCTATCTGTTTATGATAGATGCATTTTTCCAGGAGCAAGTCCTGAGAAACTTCCAATGAAAGAGAGGCATTCACTATGTAGGGGAAGCTCCTACATCCTGATGTTCCCAGTGGGTCTGGAAACAAGATTAAAAACTAGCCTGAGTTTCCAGAGTATTCCTCCACCCGGCATCCAGCCACCCTCATTCTGTTTAATCCTTGAGCTAATCAGTGCTACAGAGAAATGTGTCTTATACCTGCTAATACCTTCCCCATCTCTTCACTCTCTCAACTCCAACCTCTTTGCCCTGATAGTCAAGGTTCTACCTTAATCTAAGTACACATTGCATTCTTTGGTTTTACATCTGTAGTATCAAATGATAGAATTACAATACAGATGCCATTCACTAACTAATGGCTTTGGGAACAGGTCGTTTTGCCCACTCCTGAGCCTCTGTTTCAGTATATCTAAATTATGCATAATAAAACTCACCTGAAATTGTTTTTATAAAGAATCAAATCGAATCAGTTTAGCATATCCAAACATACCTGGCTCCCTGCCTGACGTGTGGCAGCTCCCAATAATTATTTGGATCTGAATATTGGTTCAGACAATGCACGGCTTCTTTTCCCACTAGAATAGTATCCCTGGTAAGCACAGTTCTGTTCCTGCTTCCAGTCCAGCCCCACATACATGCTGAAGTTCCCGATCTCTAGCTTCCCAGTTGGTAACATGCCTGATACCCGATCCACTGCCTTCCAGAGTGGTCAGCAATAGAACTTCACTCTAGCTAGCCTCAGTGTTGTGTTTCTGTTTTTCAAAGAAAATTACTGGAAGTATTTATAGTGAAGGGAGTTAAGAAGAAGAAAAAAACAAGAAAACCCAAAAATAGGCTCTGGGAAGAGACTGTAGAGGTTATGGTAGTTAGTATGGAAATTCTCCCAATAGTGCCATTCTTCATGTGGACACATCAGAGGGCCAAAACATGCGCCTATGGAACCCTAGCCAATGAAACCGTGAACTGAAGTTCTGCCCTCCAGGCTTTGGGAGACTTGGGAGATTTGCTCCTGGTTTTCCTGTCATGCGAATTGTGGAAGAGGTGGGAAGGAGGGAGCTCTCTCTGGCTCTATCTACTGGGCACTCTACCTTGAATAAGATGACAAGCCCCAATGACAAAAAACAAACAAACAAAAACAAAAACAGCCATGTTGTTAATACTTAAGACACAGGTCAGGGTTGGCAGCAGAGCATAACCTAGACTACCTGACTGATTAAAACATACATAACTGTTGATTTCCATTACTGTTGACCAAATGAATTCATTCCTCCAAAATCAGTATTCCCTTCCACAAGAAGGGAATGCTAATGGCAGTCAAGAGTTCCCATCTGAGCAAGGGGAGAGAGACAAAAGGAAACTGATAGGGAGACAGGGATAAAAAGTGGTAAACATAACTCATAGGAGATAACATTTATCCCATGTTAGTGCTTCCTGTTTCCATAGTTGTGTGGGCTCCTGCTCAAATTCTCCTTCCCATAATGCCCTGGGTTCACCCTCGACCAATGACAACAGTTGGGAGCAGCTACCTGCACAAGCCATCAAG